TTAGGAAACAGTGATCCCCAGTACTCAGCAGGATTACACAGTACAAACAGTCCTCTGGGATTAAGAGCTACCTAAATAAGCATGCGCTAGGCATGGCTGGACTTAACCCGAGTTAACTAGTTCTCAGCTAGGACGACAATAATCCGCTTCACAGTACTGGGACAGACCAGACCAGCTGCTGTTTGGAATCTCTCGCTGCTTCACCATCCAAGCTACTTCTCTCCCCTTGCGTACGGCGGTACAAACCGCCTCCCCGGTCAGCCTGCGGTCAGGCAGAATTCAAAATAGCCTTATTCCCCATCACTCTCAAACGTAGCGGCATCTGCCAGTCTAGCACTTCTGCTATGTGTAACGCCCAGCTGGGAGAGGACATATCCAGTGGACTAATCTTTAACTGTTAGTATCTAATTGGGACTTCCCACTAGCGCAGACTAGATTCCTTGCTTGTCGGAAGCCGTATCCGCATTCCCAGCCAGACACTGAGCACAGAGCGCCAAGAGGCACCGGTTCGAGTGCACCGTCGCATCCAGCTGCTCTAAAAGGGGCAGAAAACGACCCCAGCGTCGCAGGAGAGCAGCAGCGCTTGGACGGCACCTGCGCTCACCACGGAGGGCAACAACCTATTGCTCAAGTGCGCTGACTTCAGAGGGGAAACTTAAAGCTTAATTAAAGAAAGTCTAGACAAATATCCAGTATCACTGCAGACTCAGATAGAGTCTTAGTTTGAAGTATACTCCTGTATTTAATGCTTGCAAAAACAAATGGTACCCCAAGGATGAGAACCAATGGTTCAGATTTTGGGGAAGCCTAAGCAGTTTTCCAGCATGCGGACTTGACTAGGAGTTGTATCAAGTTTACTAGAATTTATATGCCGACCTTCCAACTTTAAATTGTCTCACGCACACTCTGGGAGGCATGTGGAATACCTCCTTCTCGCCCTTTCTACAATTAAAAATAAACATAACTACCACACTCTGCAGCGGCTGCCTTGGACACATATGCTGCATAACAACAGCTAACAAGAGCCTGTAGCACCAGCACAGCTATAAATTGCACCAGCTAGAGCTTCTGTAGGAAAGCATTAGGACCACAGCAATTTCAGTGGATTGGAATGGATGCAGCTGAAGCTCTTGAGATCACTAAAAAGAAAGGTGAATGAGGTCACAATTTCTTCTTTGCAAGTTGTTCTCTGGTTTGCCTTTCCATTCCAGAAACTTGGAGCCAGCAAAGCATGGAAGAGCTCCCTGCAAAGATGGCAATATTGGCTAGTGCACTAGCTCTCCTCCTCAATGCTGAGCCCCTGCCTCTGCAGGCAAAGTCATCCCCAGCTGCTAAACTCACAACATAATGTGTGCTCTGGAGTGTTTGTTCCAGTACTTCAGGGGTTTTCTATTCTCTTATGTGCCTTGAAAGAGCAAATCCACAAATGCATTAGTAGCACAGTCTAGCCCTTGAACCAGCTAAGCCTGGCGTTCAAGTACCATGCACACCTCCAAAAAGATCACATACCAGATCCACCACCTATCAGCAGGTTAGGACAAAAAGTGAGCCATGAGGCATTACAAAATAGAACCCTCTTGTTTTTATCTCCTTTCTGAACAGGGGACTGTCCCCAGCCCTGCAGGGCCAACTAAGACCACCTGGAGCCTTGGGGAAGAATAGCTGATGCTTGGAATTGGGAAGAAACAGCGTTCAATCTCAGGGCATAGGTCCATACTGCCCAGAGTACTCGTTCTGCCTAAATCAAAACAAGCTAAGCCCAAGGCTCCCTTCCACAAGTCTGCAAACATATTCCTGTTTTCAGATACCCCTTCTAGGAAATGGGATCCTCTTCTGTGTTGACTAAAAAAGTAACCCCACGAAACAAAATGTAAATTCTCTCCTCTTAACTCATTCTGCACATGTTCTCCACTAGCTACCTAATTTTTCTTGTTTTTCACCAACCCTTCTTTTCACCTTCCCTCTGAAAGCTTTCTATTGTTCAGTCATATCGTGAAACATTGCTAACATTAGCACCATTACTAGCCACCCTTGGAGACTGCTACATTTCATTTTCTGTACTGATGTGCAGTGTCTAACACAGGCTGCAAAATCTGAACATCCACTCCAGTCACATACTGATACTTCCAAACCCATCTGTGGTGTCTTCCGCCTTAATCTAGTCTAACACATAGTCATTCTTTTTGGACACCAAATTCTAAGAAATCTCCATCTAGACCTGATAAGTATTTCCACTTTATCCACCCTATTTAATTTATAAGCTCCTGAGGACACAGTGTCCTTGATTTACCACTTGCAAAGTATCAAAGAGCAGGACATTAGCTATTCCTTTTCACATTGTTCAAACCATTAGGCAGTGCAGCAAGTAGTAGAAAGGAAGCAAACACATTACAGATATTTAAAACATCCATATACCGAGTGGACAGAGCGATTACTGCCAACATTCGCTAACTTAGTATGCTGTGTCTGTAGCATGAAGACACGTGCACAGGATACACCACCCCAAATAACCAGGAAGACCCCATTCAGGCATCGACCGTACCTGCACACCAAGGTTGCGATGATGACGCACCATGCCGTACAGCAGCAGTCAGCATTTAGATGTTCTTCG